TACAACTAGGCAGAATTCAAATGCCAGACTCTTAGAAAAGTAACGTGGGAGAGAGGCCGCAGAGGCCAAGGAGGGATCAGAGCCCTCGGGGCTGGAGCCACGGGGAGCTGGGAGCCTCCTCTTGCGCACGCACGCATGCGTGTTGGGAACTGAACGCCCCTGATCCCCCTGCAGGAGCAACGCTCTCTCTTGACCCCTGAGCTCTGAAAGGCAAGCGAGGCTGAGGCGGGAGGCGTGGCCTTTCCCAGGGGTGGCAGAGAGAGGGGCTGAAGCTGGCAGAGGGAAGAGGGTTGGAGCCCAGAGCCTGGGCTCTGCGCGGCTTTGAAGGTGGTGGCGGCCGCTGCACGATGGACAGAAGCTGCCCTGGATGCAGGTTGTTAGGGGCACAGCACAGACGCAGCTGCGAAGACAGGAGGAGCAGCGTGGTGAGCACGGTCAGCGCAGCCAGGAGCCTCTGAAGAAGAGAAGCCCGCGGGCAGCCTGGCCCCTCTCCCCCTGCCGCTTCTCCCTAACGCCTGTGGGCGCCAAAGAGAGAGCAGGCCCCCCCAGAGAGGATGGAGGGCTTGTTAGGAGAGAACCAAGCCTCTGGTACCTAAAGAAGATGCCTTCAACAATGGACCGGGGGTGTGGGGGGGGGGGGTTAGACGTCCCTCAGCCAGATCTACAGAGGGGTCCAAGTCGGGAAGAAAGTTAAGTCCTGGGACCTTAACTCACACTGAGAACCGAGGAGAAGGATGTGTGGACAGTTTCTTTCAGCATTCTTTGTGGGGAGGTGTGTGGCCTTGACAGGCCCTTGGTTCCTGGCTTTCAAAGTCTCCCCTAACCCCACCTTGCCCCCCCAGACTGAGTGACAGACTTAACCACTCTTGAGGGTGGATTTAGACCTCACACATCCAAAGCAGGAGTTGTGACTTTCCCTGCCCGGCCACCTCAGGGTCCCACCTCAGGCTCAGCTTCCTTCGGCTCCCATCCCTCCACTGTCACCCAGGCCTGTCGACATTCTCACTGAACATGTCCCGAGTGTGTCCACCTCCCCTACCTCCATGACTGCAACCACTGTCTCCTCAGGGTAACCCTACTGCCCCTCCTCATGTCCCTGTGCCTCCTCTTACCTCCTGCAGTGTAGACCAGGAAGCCATGGGGAGATTTTTGTTTAGACAATCCCACTGTTTACAGCAGGGTCCACCCAGTCACCAGCATCCCTCCTCCTGTTCCCCACGCCCCGCCCCACACACTCCGGCTCCTTCCAAAAGATCCATGGCTGAATAAAACAAGGATGCTTTGCCTCTCCTCGAGTGGCCCTGCATGATCTGTCCCCGCCTTCCTCTCTGACCTCATCCCCTCCGTCCCTGACTTGTCCCCAGCTGGTTCCCTCCCCCCCATAGCTGGTCCCTCTGTTTAGAAAAATGTTGCCCCTACACCTGTCTTCAGTGCTACCCACTCTGAGAGTGACGTGACCGACTGCTGTGTCCAAAAGGATTCGCTTCCACCGGTCCAACCTGGCAATGCTCGGGATGCAGGGCCTCACACGCGCTGGGCAAGTGCCATACTTGTCAGCCCCGGCCCCTTGGTGCGCTTCTGCTGTTTCAGGTCTGGCAGGAACAGGACATCCAGCAGAATGGTTCCTTGTCTCACCTTTTCCTGCCTCGAATAAAGCTCCTAAGCTGGTACTCAGTAAATACTTATTGCAGGCTGGCGGACGGCGTGGGAAAGCAGGACAAAGTCCAGCTGCCCTTCCTGGCTCAGGTAGACATTCCACCGGTGCCGTGCTGAGGTCTGGGTTAGTGGCCCGATAGCACCGGGGACAGACGAACCATTTCACGCCGTGCTGAGGTCTGGGGTTAGTAACCGGATAGCTCCAGGCATGGGCGAACAGTTTCACACAGGATAGATTTTATTTGGGGAGTCCTCTGATAAGAATGTGCTTAGATTGGAGGTTGGTTCTGAGTTGTGATTTGGGTTAAGGTTAAGGCTGAAAACAGGAAAACAGAAATCCGTGGCTGCTGTCACTTCAGCCTGGTTTGGAGGCCCCCCGGAGATTTCTGCGGCCTCTCCTCTGAGAGCGCTGGAGACACTGCACAAGACTCCCAGTCATCAGCCCTCCCACCCGGGGAAAGTCCCAAACGGCTGTCGGCCTCCCCCAAGAAAGAAACCGAATTTCACACAACCTCTAAAACTGAGATTGAAACCAAAATTGGCCCTCGGCAGGGCACAGCCTTCAGCATGCGGCCAACTCCCGTGACACAGCTTAGCCCTTCCTGCCCTTCCTTCTCCTCTCTCACATCTCATCTTCTCGCCTTCCCCTTTCCATTGTCCCCCATTTCCTTCTTCTAGACCCAAATCTAATCTCTCTCTCTTTTCCCTCCCTCCCAACACCTCTCTCTCTCCTTAACTGTATTGTCATTTTCCGTTTTAATACAGCTTGGCCAGGGTCCCAGTCCATCAGCCACGGCCATTTCAGAGGCAGGAACAACAGGAAGCATAAAGATTCCCAGGGAAAGGGGAACACAGAAAAGGAACCAAAGATGACACAAACAATGACAAGATGAAAATTGGGTCCTAGAGAATGCAGCTCAGGAGAGGAGCGCTTGCCTGGTACGCTCAAGGCCATGGGTCCCCTGGCAGCACTGCCAAGGAGGAAGAGCAAGGAGACAGGCATAGGCAAGAAGCTACAAAGTGTCTCCTGTAACCCATGAAGCTACAGGGGCTGGGTTTTGTTGGTTTTGTTACAAAGTGTCTCCTGTAACCCACTAAGTTACAGGGCTGGGTTTTGTTGGTTTTGTTACAAAGTGTCTCCTGTAACCCGTGTAGCTAAGTCTGACCCTGAGCTCCTCCTGATGCTTCTGCCTTCGCTTCCCCAGTGCTAGGAAAGCAAGCATGCATCACCACACCCAGCTTATGTGGCGCTGGAACCCAGGGCTTTCTGTTCACTAGACAGCTGAACCACATCCCCCAGCCTGAAAGAGACGCCTATGCGTTTCCTTCCTCCCTTGTATCAGGGCAGTCACCAGCACAGTAGGTTTAGCCTTGAAGCACTGTGTCCTCTGCATAAATGCAGACTCCTGTCATCCCCGAGCTGGGTCACTATAAAATGCTCCTCACTGGTCTCCATGGTGACCTCAGGGTCCTCCACTGCTCACTTTGCTTCCAGACTCCCTTTTATAAGGTAACAGTGTATCTGGGTCTCTCTAGCACACCAGGATGAGATTCACACTTCTTTCCTTGGCTTTAAACCCTGCGGGGTGTGTTCTCTCTCACCTGCAAGTATTTCTTTGGCTCATCCCAGATGTCCCCGATGCACATCTCAGCCCACGAGGGGTGTCTCACCTGCAGTGCCCCTCCCCGCCTCTCTTTGACTCCATAACGGACGCCCCAGGTTCCATGGATTTCCTGCGGGCTGCAGCATAACCACACCCCAGTAACCCTGAGATGCCTGAAGTCAGGGAACCGTCTGTTGGAACTGTCTCCCCGTGCCTTCTGCCAGGTGCACAAGTGTCTGTGGAGGGCAGAGGGTGCTGAGGAGACTGTATGGAGCCTGAGCTGGGAACTTCAGAGTGTAAGACCCCAGAAACGGCGCCAGGCCTCTGCCTGCCAGGCTCTGGCCTGCCCACGTCTCCCCCTTGAGGCCATCCAGACTGGAATTTCTCTTTACCGACGTGGGTCATAGAGACTAGAATCCTCCTTTTTCCGTGACCTGGGAGTGTTGCTCTTCCCCCACCTTTCTGAGTAAGAACTGGTCATTGAGAAAATGTCTGGTCCTGGGTCACAAGCCTCATTCTGCAGGGTCCTGCCCAGTTCCAAGAAAGATGCAGGTCAGAGCGCCCATGAGGAACGTGGACAGACAGGACCAGCTGGTGCTCCCACTCAGGCATTTGGGCCTGAGAGCGGCGGTGTGCCCAGTGACCTCCTGTGACCGCCCCGTTGCCAGCTGTAGCCCCCACTACAACTGAACAGGACAGCAGGGGCAGAGGTGGTGGTATTTAGAAGAAAGACCCGCTGGGCGGGCATTGGTGGCGCCTGTAATCCCAGCACTCGGGAGGCAGAGGCAGGCAGATCTCTGTGAGTTCGAAGCCAGCCTGGTCTACAGAGCGAGTTCCAAGACAGCCTCCAAAGCAATACAGAGAAACCCTGTCTTGAAAAAAACCACTCTCCTCCCCCCCAAAAAAAACTTTGCTTTTGAAAGCTGTGACTTACAAACTGAATGAAAACTGGCTTATGCACAAGCATTTTCTAATCTATGTTTTCACCTCAGACAAAAACTAGAAGCACACCTAGTGGTCATCGCCAATGTCCTAGTTGGCTACCTGAACTCTTAGCAGTCTCGAGTCACCTGAAGAGGGCGTTTCAGCTGAGAGACTGGCTGTGGGAATGAACACCTGTGGGGATCGTTAATTGATGTGGGGGGCCCAGACCACTGTGGGTGGCACCGTCTTCTAGGCAGTGACTCTGGGTTGTATAAGAAAGCTAGAGAGCCGGGCGTTGGTGGCGCACGCCTTTAATCCCAGCACTTGGGAGGCAGAGGCAGGTGGATCTCTGTGAGTTCGAGGCCAGCCTGGTCTTGGAAAAAGTTTTTTTGAAAAAACAGCTGCATTGATAATGATAAGAAGGGGGAGGAGGAGAAATTGTTTTAAGGAAGACAGAAAGGTGGGATAGACAGCAAGATGGCCCCATGGGTAAGGGCTGCTGCCTTTACCTAATGACCTGGGTTCGATCCCCAGAACCCACATGGCAGAAGGAGAAAACCAACTCCCAAGAGCTGTGCTCTGACCCCACACGTGGTCTGTGGCACTTGTGTGCACTCACATGCAGACACATAAGATAAATACCTTTTTTTTTTTTTTTTTTTTTTGGTTTTTCGAGACAGGGTTTCTCTGTATTGTTTTGGAGACTGTCCTGGAACTCACTCTTGTAGACCAGGCTGGCCTCGAACTCACAGAGATCCACCTGCCTCTGCCTCCCAAGTGCTGAGACTAAAGGCATACACCACCACCGCCCGGCGAAAATAAATATACTTTTAAATGTTATGCTGCGTGTGGAATTTTTGCATACATGCATGTCTCTGAACCACTTGTGTGTAGTGCCTGCAAAGGCCAGAAGAGGCCGTCAGACCCCCCTGGACTGGAGTTCAGACAGAGTAAGCCAACATGTGGGGACTTGGAATTGAACACTGGTCCTCTGGAAAAACAGCCAGCACTCTGAACTGCGAAGCCATTTCTCCAGCCCTCAAAATAAATACACATTTTAAGGTTTTGTTTTAAGACAAAAACTAACAATGTTGTTTCTGGAACATGGGACTAGACCGACATCTGGCTACCAGAGCTACGTCCCAGGCCTTTCGACAGTAATGGCGCCTCAGGTGTTGCTTCAGACAAGACCCTGGGCTGCCGTCCTGCTGTGTAGAATTCTGGCCGAAGCCTGGGAATGGGTTATTTAGGGCTGTATAAATCTGATCTGAGACCTTACTTAATACATGAGTGTAGTGGATTCTAATTAGCCCCCCCCCGCCCCAAATCCTCTTCCAGGCATAGACACTCCAGCGCAGTGGTTCTTCACCATGCTGACGCTGTGGTGAGCTCCCAAGCACGAAGTTACTTCTGTTGCTACTTCATAACTGTAATTTTGGTGCCGTTATGAACCATGATGTAAATATTTCTGAAGACAGAGGTTTGCCGGATGGGTCTCGACCCACAGATTCAGAACCATTGCTGTAGGGAGTAAGGGGTCCCGTCAAGATTGTCGCACGCCAGGGTACCCCAGACCAGAGGTGGGGGGTTGCTCTAGACATGGAAACTGGCAGAGGCCAGAAAATACTGGAATAAGTGTGGCTCGAACCCCCAGAGACAGGAGAGGAAACGGGGGAGCCTGAAGGCGTGTAGGTCAGTGTGCACGGCTTGTCTAGCATATGTGAGACCCTGGGTTCAAATCTGAAAAAAGAAAAAAGAAAAAAAGCAAAGTTGTCACTGGCCACATGTGGTTACCGAGCCTTCCAGGTGTGACCGGAGGATGGAGAAGGAAATGTGCAGACGAGAGTGTGTGCAGTCATGGGTGCGGGCGTGTCACAAACCACCACTCTTCAGGGAACCCGGCTTCCAGCCGCAGCCAGGCTGTGCCCCCTCATTCTCCACGAATTGCCTGTCCCTTCTCTGGAACACCTAGGCCTGACCCGGCTCCCTGGTAGTCCCTGTAGCCCACAGCTCCCCGCACCCCACTCCCTTTCCCAGAACTCAGTTGTGTGAGCCCCTAGCCTGCGGCCTAAGCCTTTCCTGCCTTCGCCTGAAGCAGCAGCCTCTTCTAAGCCCTGGGGGCTTCCCCAGGCCCCAGCCCCGACCTAGAACCCGCCCGCTGCCTGCCACACTGCCGCTTCCTCTATAAAGGGACCCAAGCGCCAGTGCCCAGGCCCCGCACAGCAGGTGAGCCTCTCCTTCTCCATCGCCATGGGCTTACCCGCCACAGGCATCCCTCGGGATCCAGGGAAACCCGCCTCTTCACTTGGGCCCCAGCCTGGATCCCCAGGCTTATTGGGTCTGGTCCCTGTGGCTTTGACTTTTGGTCTGTTCCGTGGTGGTGTCTAACTCGGTTGTCTGTCAGTCGCTCTCTCTGCCCCTGTCACCCTTCTGATTCCTCTGTGGTTCTCTCTCTGTGGTTCTTTCCTCTTCCAGTCTCTCTCTGTCTCTCCCTGACCCTGGTAACTTGTGTGTCTTGTCCCCTTCTCTGTCTGTCGCCCTGTATCTCGGGGTAGCTGTCTCAGCTGGGAGGTGAGCTCCGTCTTCCGCTGTGTGCCCCGCCTCCTCTACACTCTCTCTCTCTCTCTCTCTCTCTCTCTCTCTCTCCTCAGGTTTCCTCCATGACACCGCTTGGACGTCTCTACCTCTTGAGGGTGCTTGGCGCCCCCCCTGTCTTCCTTCTGGGGCTGCTTCTGGCCCTGCCTCTCTCGGCCCAGGTGAGGCAGCAGGAGAATGGTGGGTGTGCCGGGGTGGCCTAGCCAACCCGGAGCCTTAGAACCCTCTCAACTCTGCTCTCCCTAGGGACGCTCGGCTGCTCATTTCTCCTCTGCCGGGACAGCTCGCCAGGCCCATGGCACCCTGAAGCCTGCTGCTCACCTTGTTGGTAAACTTCTCCCTCCAGAGGTCCAGTCCCTGGCTCTCCTCCTTTCTGCCCAGGGGCCCAAGTGATCACCCCATCTCCCCACACCAACGTCTCTCACCTCTAAAGACAGGCACCCCCTTCCCAGCCCCCCTCAACCATCCCCATCGTCCAGTGCCTGATTCCTCAGAGATGAAGACCTCCGACCTTGACCCCCCCAACACCTTACGACTTTTTCTAGGATACCCCAACAAACAGAATTCGCTGCTCTGGAGAGAGAACACAGATCGTGCCTTCCTCCGACACGGCTTCTCTCTGCGCAACAACTCCCTCCTGGTCCCCGCCAGTGGCCTCTACTTCGTCTACTCCCAGGTGGTCTTCTCCGGGGAGAGCTGCTCCCCCAAGGCCATTCCCACCCCCATCTACCTGGCACACGAAGTCCAGCTGCTTTCCTCCCAGTATCCCTTCCATGTGCCTCTCCTCAGTGCGCAGAAGTCCGTGTATCCGGGGCTACAAGGACCATGGGTGCGATCCATGTACCAGGGGGCTGTGTTCCTGCTCAGTGAGGGGGACCAGCTGTCCACCCACACGGATGGCGTCTCCCATCTACACGTCAGCCCCAGCAGTGTGTTCTTTGGAGCTTTCGCTCTGTAGAATCATCTAGAAGAAGCCAGGAGTTGGTTTCCAAGCCTCCACTCTGCCCATCCCCACCAAAATCACCTGGAGCTTTCACAGAAGGAGTCTGATGCACCCCAGGGGACCACGGCTCTCCCGGGGCCACCCCAGATGCTCAGCTGAGGATTCAAGCCTGCCTAGGAGTTCCTGCACAGAGCAGGGTCTCTGTGGGTCTGGGTGGGGCAGAGACCTGGATGTGACAGATGTGGGGAGGGGACAGGAGACAGGGAGACTATTTATGAAGGGAAAGGTTAAGTTATTTATTTATGGAGAACAGAAAGAGGAGAGAAACCGGGAGCCACCGGATGACAACCAGGTCCCAGACACGAAGAGTGAGGTGGCATCAGGTCAGGACTCATCTGAGGGAGAGAGAAGCAGGTGCGAGCCACCGAGAGCTTCAGGACAAAGGCTCTGAGCACCATCCACAAGGAGCCATCTGCCCCATCAATGACACCCAATAAACCTCTTTTCTCTGAAATTCTGTCTGCTCATGTCTGTCTGTTCAGGACGGGGGAGACTCTTCCCTGTCTCTTTAAGGAATGGAGTAGGTGCAGGGGCCTCGGGTGGATGGATCATGGGCTG